TCCTAAGGTTGTATATCTTTACAGAAACAGATTTCCTCATCTTCCTCCTTCAGAGTGGCTGGTGGGTTCAAACCACTAACCTTTAGGTTAGCAGGTAAATGCCTTAGCCACTATACCACCAGTTGGCTAATGTTGTTGTTATTGTTGTTATGTGCCGTTGAGTCAGCCCTGACTCATGGCGACCCCTCCTTGGGTTTCCGAGGCAGTATCACTACGGAAGTAGGATTGCCCAACCTTCCTTCCGAGGAGTGGCTGGTGGGTTTGAACCGCCAGCCTTCTGGTGAGCAGTCAAGTGCTTTAGCCACTATGCTACCAGAGCTCCTAGTTGGCTAATAGGGGTTGTGAATTTCATAGAGGGGGCAACATGACCATTAGTCCCATCTTCCTGGGCCTTGGGTCCCTTATAGTGCCCTTGTCTGGTGTTTGGGAACCTGCTGATAACACTGCTGTCGTTGAGCAATCAGCCTGTCCATTGCTGGCCTGGGGGGCTTCAGAGGCCAGCGAGACATATGTCTTGGCGCTTAAGTCACCCATATTTGGGGAAGCAGCCCTAGGAGCAGGAGCTGGCTGTGACCTGTGGTCATTGGCAGCCCATGAGGACCTAGTCCTTGACTATCATTTGCTTTCTGTGAGACTCCGCTGGCCTCCTGCACCTCCACTCGCCAGCAGGGCCATGTGTTACCTCATGTGCTGTGGGGCCCTGCTGAGCCCTGCTGCCTGGGTGTGGAGCTGTGTGCATAGATGGACACCACAGCATGGGGTGAGCAGTAGCTGGAGGAGACAGGAAAAACAGAGAACCCGGCAGTGGGATCCTGAGTCCTTCAGTTATGGGAACTGGGGCGTGGGGTGGGCTGGAGTCGGTACGGGGCTGGGCACTGTCACCATAAATGTTACATTCACACCCAGAGCACAGAGGTGGCACCTGGGAGGTGTTTAAATACCAGTCAAACCCATTGCTGTGGAGTCAGTTCTGACCCATGGTGACCCCATGTGTTACAGGGTGGAATTGCTCTGTGATGTCTTCTTGGCTGGGATATTAACAAGCAGATTTCCAGGCATTTCTTTCAAGGCACTGCTGGTTGGGTTTGAACCATCAACCTTTAGGTCAGCAGTTCAGTGCAAACCATTTGTACCACTTAGGGGCCTCCTGGAGGAGAGATTATTTTGCAAGCAGAGAGGAATGTGGTCTGTTTCCAGTGTATAAGCAGCTTTAAGAAAGGTCTCTGAGCTTTTTTGCGTACTCGGACCCTACACGTAGGCAAGTCTTCATTCAGCAGCCTGCCATGTTGCCTGCTGATCTTGGGACTGTTTCTGGACTTGAACTAGTGGCCGGCTTAATAATCTTTGGACCATGCCATTTTACTTGTCAATCTTGGGTTTGTCAGCCTCAGCAGCCAGCAGTTGCCTGAGTGAAGAGACATCTCCAGCTCCAGTGGGCTGGGAGCACGAGGTAGAGCTGAAGCCCAAGGTCAGGGGGCCTTCACCCAGACCCTAGAGCTGGCATTTTGAACTTGGACTTCTAGCCTCGTAAACTATGACAGAATCCCTGTTTGTTAAGACCTTCCCTGTGGTATTTTCCATTAGAGCAGCACCCAAGAACCAGAACAGGCACACTGGTGTCAGGCTGTGCTCAGAGGGCTGCTCCTGAGAACATGAGGTGTGAATGGGTTGGGCCTCCTGCCATAGCCCTGGGGTGAGAGACGAGCCCAGAATCAAAATATCTAGTCTGAGTAGTGGCAGCAGGAGCTGCGGGTAACAGGACTTGGAGGGGATGGGGGCCCCTACAGCTGGCCTCAGCCCCTCTGCTTGGTGCTGTGTGTCTGAAAGAGGAGCTGTGCCCTCTTGTCTCAGCCTCCTGCATCATCCTAGTGGACGTGACTTCTGCCAGGAGGGAAGGTGACAGAGGAAGGACCCACATTCTGTCTGCTAAGAGATGGTGGCCAAAGCCAGGGTCTTACGGAGGACCCGGAAAGGATAAAGAGAATTCATGCAGAGGGGAGAAGGCAACTCATTCTGGCCTGGCTACAGACTTCCTCTCCCGCCGTACTCCCCTGGTAGTGAAACCACTGCAGGGCCGAAAGCCAGCTGCTCTGAAGTAAAATGTGCAGCCCCTGACCTGGAGTCAGGTCCTGAAGTTTATGGCTCTTCTTGATAGTGGCCAAGTCTCAGTGACAAGAAGTCATGTTGCAGCCAGGTTAAAAGGAACAAAGTAACTTCTGCAAGTCACTGACTGCCCAAACACCCGTGTCAGCACCACACAGCTTCGGTGGCTCCCGCTCTTGAGGGAAGTAACGGAAAAGGATTGCAAAGCAGACTCATGGCAACCTGTGGGTGTCAGAGCAGAACTAGGCTGCACAGGGTTTCCAATAGCTGATGTCTTGGAAGGGGTCTCCAGGCCTTTCTACCGAGGCACCTCGGGCTGGACTCAAGCTTTTCAGTTCACATCTGAGCAACGCTAACCACTTGTGCCCCGTGAGCTCTACCAAAAAAGCCATACTCACTGCCGTCGAGCCAATTGTGGCTCGTGGGGTTTCCGAGGTGATATCACTACGGAAGTAGATTGCCCCATCTTCCTTCTGAGGAGTGGCTGGTGGGTTTGAACCACCAGGCTTCTGGTTAGTAGTCAAGTGCGTTAGGCACTAGGGCACCATGCCACCAGAGAGCATGCGCCGTGTCCCCCACCAACCAGAGAGCGTGCGCCGTGTCCCCCACCAACAGACAGCGTCGTGGCATACCCCCCCCTGCCACCACCCCCCCAAATGGAGGCATATTTTTAGTTTGTTGCTGTTTGGTGTTTCCTTTCTTACAAGTTTCAGATGACATGACTCCTTGAGCACTCTGGATAAGCTACTGCCTGCTACATGTTTATTGATACACTATAGTATGTTTATTTTGAACACAGAATACACGGTTGCTTATTTAGTGCCTAGTCCAGGAACAAGAAAAGCTGTTCAGCTCCATCCCTCAAACACTGATGAGTAGGTTTATTTATTGATTGGTTAATTTTTTTTTCCAAGCACTCGCTAGAGTTGCAGAAGCAGGAGTCTTATCCCTGGAGTGCATGTTAAAGGCTATACAGTGCAGCAGAGATTTTTTGCCTAGAAAACAGTACACCTGAAAGGTGGACAGAACTGTTTGTAAACAAGGCCCCTCCCCCAGGTGGAGTCGGGGGCTGGAGGATGTGGGCGCTTGCCATGCGACAGAACCTCCAGATGGATTCCGCACGGTTCTGCGTCAGAAGACATTCTGCCTCTACAGAAAATAAATCTTAAGATTGCCCTCTTTGCCATGCCCCTGCTCAAGGAAAACCAAAACCAAAACCAAACCAAACCAAACCAATTGCCACTGAGCTGGTTTCAACTCGTGGCGACCCCATGTGTGAGAGTAGAGCTACTCTGTAGGGTTTCCTTGGCTGTAATCTTTACGGAAGCCGACTGCCAGGCCTTGCTTCCGTGGAGCTGCTGTGTAGGTTTGACCAGCCAGCCTTTAGGTTAGTAGCCAGTTGCAAACCTCTTGTGCCACCAGGGCTCCCTGCTTAGGAAAAGGATGATTGCTAACTTGTCTTAGCCCTTCATTGGAGGAAGTGAAATCTGGGAGAGGAGGGTTGGGGGCGATGCTGCTTAAAGATGGGGGCCAACAGGTGGGAGAGGGAAGGTGGACAGGACTGTGGTTCTCTGTCACTGGTGATGCTGGCAGGACCAGTCCTCACAGAAGCTGGGCCACCACCCTGTGGCAGGCTGGGTATTTGGGAGTCGGTTCTGTACCTCCATGGTCTCTGATGGAAAATGCTGGAATTCATCGGCCAAGATCTGAGCCTCTCTGCAACCAGACAGACTGCACACATCGCCTCCTGTGGCAGGGCCCTGACAGGGAGGCTGAGACACACCCCTGGTCTCTCATGGTGGTGCAGCAGTGTCTTGGGGACTCGCACCCTCTTTGTTTTGTCACTGCAAACACCCTGAAGGGGAAGAACAGCACATCGACTCCAAGTTCCCAGCTATGAGCCATCCGGGAGGACGGCACCAGCTCCCGGGGTTTGGCTCCAGCTTGTTTAAGGTTAGGCCACAGGGTTGCTGGGCACATATTGAATGAGGTGCCCTTTTTCTGCCTGGGAGCCACACCCTGGCAGCACCACAGCCAGGCCACCTGGAGAAGGGTAGTGGCCTCGTCTCCTTTATAGATTCTGTTTTGGGCACTGCTAGTGGCTGGATTGGCTTGGGAACAGCTATAACCCACCACCACCACTATATACCCAAAGGCCCTATCCATTCCATCCGTTTGTGGCCTGGGTGGGGACTTCTGCAGGAATTCCGCTAGCACCACCAGGCTGAAGGTATTGGGTTAGGAGGGGGCCGGATGGGCTCAGTGGGCCTCTCAGTTGTGCCCACGCCCCAAGACCTGGGTCCCCCACCTGTAAGTGGCAGAGTGGTGATGTGTGGCTCTGTTGTCCTAGAAACGAGAGATGCAGCTGTCCCACCTCCCCAAAGGAACAAGTGAGCCCTGGGTGGGGGTCAGGCAGGAGCTGACCTGGGGCAGGTGAGCAGGTTCTGGACAGAGCCAGAGTTTCAACATGGCCTGCCAGGTGAGGACGGGTGAAAAGGCCCAGGGAAAAGGCAGCCCGGGGGATGGGAGAAAGCCCATTCCCTCGTCACCTGCACCCCAAGTATTGCCTAGAAAGGCACAGCCAGGCCAGGGAGGAGGAGATAGTGGCTGGGAGCATCATTTTTTTTTTAACAAAACCTTCCCAGTTGGGTTTTGTGTGGGTGTGGTGGGCCTGTGGGTGTGTTTGTGTCTACACATGTGTGAGGGGTGTGTATGTGTCTGCACATGGGTATGTCTGGGTACTTGTCTGTGTACATCTGTATCAGTGTGTATGTCTGTGTGCGTGTGTCCCAGTCGTGCATATGTGTGTGCACAGGGGTGTCTGTGTGTGTGCCCATGTGTGCCTGAAGGGGTGCCTCAGCCCCGAGAGACTGGCAGGACCTGGTTGCCAGGGTCATTTACACAGTCCTCTCTGGGCCTGAGGCTGGGGCCCGGGTTGGGACAGCTAAACCCTGGCAGATCTTGGGTCCTGGTCCCAGCCCTGGCAGTGGTAGCGGGCCCCCTGGGGGGCCAGCCCCACACACAGCCTCATAAGGAGGCAGGGTGTCCATAGAGATGGTGCAGAGGCCACTCTGGTGCCAGGTGCTCGGCACCTGCTGGTGTTGGCCGGGGCTGTGGCCGCTGCCGGCATCAAGGGGGCTGTCCAGTGGTGGGCAGGAGTCTGTCAGCGAGTAGGGCGGCGGTGCATCCGTAGGAACGTACAGCTGAGTGGCCCCCGGCCCCATACATTCCTCGTAGCTGTAAGAGAAGAGTCTCGCTCAGGGCCCTGTGGACCCTGGGCCTTGGAGGGATGTTGGGAAGTCTCTCCCCAGGGACTCTCCCCAAGGACTTCTAGCTGCAGTGAGAAGCTGCCCTGGTCCCCAGGGGGAGCCTTGTCCACACTGGCTCGAATGGAACCGCTGAGACCTGGGTTCTGTCCTGCCTCGGCTTCCAGTGGCCTGTGGGAACTGCGGCAAGTCCTGACTTCCCTAGGTCTCAGATTCAACACAACGGTAGCTGCCGCCCTTTTATGGAGCATCTTCCAGGCCCATGTAGGGTTAAGGGCTCTGAGTGTGTGGGTGGAAGCTGTGTCAGGCTCAGGTCACCCCTGAGCTGCCCATCTGTTTGGCTCAGGAAAAAGTCCCCTGGTCTCTGAAGTCACAGACACTGGGCAGGGACACACCCCCAGCCCCAGAGCCCTGGGAGCAGGGAGTGGAGGATAAAGGTTGATGAGGGGGAAGTGGCTAACTGTCCTGGGGCTGAGGGGCCTCCTGGTGGGGAAGTGATGGAGCCCCCCCCCCCCACTTTTCCCTTTTGAAGTATTACCTGGCAGGAGAGGCCCCCAAGGCCCCCAGAGACAAATTCCCCAGAGGACCTGCTGGGTTGGGAGGGGCGAGAAGGGGTCTACACCCAAGATGCTTTCTGCGTTTACACCGTTTGGGGAGGAGGTGCTGGTTCCTGTGGTGGAGGTCTTTGCCCTCAGGCCTCCCATGCCCTCCTCTCCCATGCAGCCTCCTTACCCTGGTGGAGAATCCGGGTACAGCTCCTGGAGCACCGTGGCATCCAGGTCCCCATCAGAGCTGATGTCCAAGGGTGGGGGCCAATCCTCGTCAGGACTGCAGGTATAGCGCATCCTGCGGCTTGAATGGCTGTATGTGTGCCCCTCAGACACTGCAGGGAACAGGCCATCAGCCTCAGGCCAGGGCCCAAGGAGGGTCCTCAGGAGTCGACCCGAGGCCACCGAGGCTCTCATCTCCCCACCTGACTGTCATGCCCTCGCCAAGCACAGCTGCCTTCACCGCCTGAGCCACAGCCCTAGAATGTGGGCACCAATGCCGTGCTGGGCTTGGGGCCACTGAGAGGAGACAGAGTTGGCCCTGCCCAAGTGGAATTCTCAGGGTGGCAGGGAGATGGCTCAGGGGACAGCCTGGTACCAGTTGGTGCGTCAGGAGCTTTGACAGACGTAGCACTGAGGCTGGAGGATCAGAGACAGGGCTGGTTCAGCCTAGAAGTCTAGGAGGGCTTTCTGGAAGAAGGGCTGCCAAAGCTGTACTTATCTAGGAATTGGCAGTCAGAAGAGGCGCAAGCCAGGCAGCAGGAACAGACAGCTAGAGCCAAGGAGGGAGAGGAGAAAGTAGAGGACCCTGTGGACAGGAAGCTCTGAGCTGGGGCATGAAAAATAGGAGGAGGGTGGTGGGGAATGAGGGCTGCAGAGGGAGCTGGTCAGGCCCACCCCTCACTGTTCCCCTTGAGGTGCCCCGGGGAAAAAGGGGCCTCTGTGGTGAAACAAATTTGCTCCAAGTCACATACCAAATTCTCCCAAGGTTTGCACCACGGAACTGAACATCAAAGGCTCTGAAAAGTCCTGCAGTTAGCTAAGAAACTCTGTCCACCATTGTCTAGCATTGGATCTCAGAATCTTATTTTCTTAGGCCCACTAGGAAATGCTGATGGAGCATAATCTATAGCTGAGGTTCAGAGAGGCCTAGTAACTTGTCAGAGGCCACACAACAAGTCAGTGGTAGGGAGGGCCAGAGAGCAGCTGGATCTCCTTTATGCCTCTACTTCTCTGGTCCTAACATGTCTGGTTGTGGCCGCGAGACTGTGTGAGGTGCAAAGATAGCGGACATAGAGGTTCTGCCCAGGTGGCTCCTCCCCTCAGGGGGCAGGGCCTCTCAGATGAGGATACTGAGGCTGAGGACCACATACACGGATCAGTGTAGGGTGGGAATTCATGCATAGTCTGTATAACTCCAAAGACTGCTCTTGCCAATCCCCTAATCCCCTTGCCCACTCATGATACCACGGGGAGTGGGAAGGTCTGGATACAAGACTCTACCCGTAGGTGTAAACCCAGGCTGATCTACGGACATGGAGAAAGCTCCCAGAAGAAAATACTCCAGACGTCTGGATGACAGGATCATGATCCCTATTTCCTTCTTTAGATTTTCTGTATTTTTAAATTTCCCCCACAATTAACACATACTGCTTTTCTACTGGGAAGAAGGAATCCAATAGCTTGCTGTTGTGAAGAGGTGAGATGAGGTTTGTTTCCCTCCCGGGCACCAGCTGAAAGGTGAGAATTTCTGAAAGAACTTCAAGGAGAAACTGGGGGAAGATGAAAGCACACAGGAACAGGGCGTGGCCACAAGTTGAGCCATTGTCTCTGGTGCCAGGGTCCTGTCCCTGCCAGTGCTGTAGGGAAGGGTCCTTGGGCTCTGGGTTGGGTCCTGCCTGCAAAGCAGGAGGTCCAGGCTGTGCCCTGGGTAAAGCTAGCGTGGGTGGCCCTGGCGCGCGGGCAGAGAACTGAGAGGACTCGACTCAACTGCCGTTTGCTCTCTCTGTGAGCTGTTTTTCCTTGGGCCTTCAGAGACATAGCAGTGAGTTTGGTTTTTCTGTTGTTCAGAGTCTTGAGTAGTAGGGGGAATTGAGTGCCTTGCACCTAGGTCAGTCCCAGGTAACAGCTGGGCAGAGCTTGTCAGGAGCAGCCAGCCAGACCCCTCCTTGCTGCCTCTGAACTTCTCCAGTTGCCCTCTAGCCCCTCTCCTCTCCTAATTTCCACACCAGCTCAGGCCAAGAAGGTCCAGAACGCCAGGAGCCCCGCCTTCCACTTCATGGAAGATGAAACATCCCTACCCTTCTCTTCACCAAAATTAGCATTGTTTAACCCAAATGCAAGGTGACCGCTCCTTGGCAGGCCCTGGGAGAGTGAGGGGAGGTTGCACCCAGGCTCTGGGACAGGGGAGCTGCGCTCACACCCAGCCCCGGGAGAGGGGCGGGGAGCTCACACCCAGCCCCGGGAGAGGGGAGGAGAGCTCATGCCGGGCGGCAGCTCACCGTAGCTCTGCTCCGGCTCTTGGTGTCGATGCCAGCGGTGGTGGTGGTGGTGGTGGTGGTGGCGGCGGTGGCGGTGGCGGTGGCGCTGGATCCGGGCTTGCCTGTCCCTGCGGATGCTGCCGATGATGATGGTGATGCAGGAAAGGATGACCACCACCCCTATGACTGCGCTCGCCACCAGCACGGGGGACACGAGCAGATGGCTGTGCTCCAAGTTCTCCGAGAATGTGGAGTAGAAGTAGTCGGTGCGGTTGTATTGAGGTACTGTGGACAGACAGACAGGACACTGAGCGGCGGCCAGGCTCTGCCACATGCCTTCTTCCTTGACTCCTGCCCTGAGAGTCAGTTATCACTAAGTAAGCGGAGGCCAGCCTGGGCTCATCCCATGGACTCTATCCTGTCTGTTCTGGGCGAGGGCGAGGGAGCCCACTCACCTTACTGCCTACAGGAGCCTCTGGTAGCTAGGGCTGACCTTCCCTCCTCTTCTCTGAAGTCTTTATCCCCAGAAGCTCAACTAACTCACAGATGGGGAAAAGGAAGCTCAGAGAGGGCAAAAGACTTGCCGAACGTCACACAGCAAATGAGTGGCAGAGCTGAGGCTTCAACCAAAGATTCAGTGCCTGACTCTACTTCACCAAGAGGTGAGCTTGCAAGGCCAGCATGGCTTTACCGTGGTCTTGGGAAGGGGCAGGGGTATGCAGGGGATGAAGTACGAGGACCATTTCTGCTGGCCTCCTTCCTCAGAGTGCTACACCTACCCAAGTGACTAGTACAGGAAAGTCGGGCAAGCCCAGGGCTGTGGCAGCACCTGACACACACACGTTAGGGGGCTGGGTAAGATCAGAGAAGACTTCCCAGAGGAGGCAAAGCTGAGGAGATCTTGGAGGGTGAGGGTTAGCTCAGTGAAGGGAGGGGAAGGCACTCCAGACAGACGGAGAGCACAAACATCAGGCGTGGCAAGATTCCAGGGAAGAGTGTGGGCGGCAGGAGTGTGTTGTGGGATGGTGTCGAGTTGGCCCCATGTGACAAACTAGAACTGCTCCACAGGGTTTTCTAGGCTGTAATCTTTATGGGACCAGATCAGCAGGTTTCTCTCCTGTGGAGCCACTGTGTAGGCTTGAACCACTGACCTTTTGGTTAGCAGCTGAATGCTGAACTATTCCAACACCAGGGGCAAGAACATGTGGAGGGTGCAAAAGCCCCCTGAGGGCCCTGAGGAAGGAACCCCTGGGATCCTTGGTGACTTTGTCCTCCTACAGGATAAGATGACGGGGTGCTCTGGGCTGGGGCTTCTGGGGGAGGGTCAGGGGTCAGCCGGGAGCACCAGCTGCCTCGCTCAGGGACAGCCACCACACCTCATTAGTGAGGGCCTTGGAGCTACTTAATTCTTCCAGCTCAGTCAGGCAGGGATGCCCCTTTTCCAGACGCACAGACTGAGGGAGCAATAGAGAAAATCCATGAAATCAAACGTTCCAAAGATCAATAAAGCTGACAAACTTTTCACCGGATTGACCAAGGAAAAAAGACTCAAATGATTAGAATCAGAAATGAAAAAGGGGACCGTTACAACATCTGGGTAAACGATACATAACAAAACATTCACACTTCAGCCATTGTCACATGTCCAATTCTGTGATGTTAATTACGTTGGCTCTTTTTGCAGCCCTCACCACTATCTGTCACCAGTCTCTGTTAGGGTACTTTTTTTTTTTTTTTAATTTTTGTTGTGATTTGAGTGAAAGTTTACACAGCAAATTCATTTCCCACAGTGGTTCATACACATATTGTCTCATGACATTGACTGGAGTTCCCCACAGTGTAACAGCTCTCTTCCTGCTTCCTCCCCATAGTTACCTCTTTCCTGTGTCCTTCCATCCCAAGCACTTCTGTCCCCCAACCAGGCTCCCTGTGCATACACTGCCCTTCTGTTCTCCCATGACTGATCTCTGCAAGGAGTGTATCTACCTGATGTAAGTGTTCAGTCCATATGCCAGTCTTCTGTTTGTCTGGAAGCCACAGGAGTGAGTTTGTTTCCAGACCTGAAGGGCAGCGAGAGGCCATAGTCTCAGGGGTTTCACCAGGCTCTATCAGACCAGCAAACTTGGTCTGTCTTTTTTTTATTTTATTTTATAATTTTGACTTTTGTTCCACATAGTTCTCCCACTCTATCCAGGATCTCCTACACAGATCCTCCTCTGAGTGGTTGACAGTGGTAGCCAAGCACCATCTAGTTCTTCTGGTCTCAGTCATATAGGCTGAGGATTGCATGGTCTACTAGTCCATTGGACTAATTGTTTCCATGAGTCTTTGGTTTTCTTCATTCTTCTTTGCTTTGGATGAGGAGAGACCCATCGTTGCATCTAGATGGCTGCTTGCAAGCTTTTAAGATCCTAGTTGCTACTCACCAAAGCAGGATGTGGAACAATATTTTTGTGCAGTATGTTATGTAAATTAAGCTTGAAGGGGACTTTTTTTAAAATTGAAATGTATTTTAATGAAAGAGAAGCCATTATTTATTCTGACCTTACAGAAATAAAAAGGATTACAATGGAATACAATGAACAATTGTATGCCCATAAATTAGATAACTTGGGAGAAATGGACAAATGCCTAGAAAGACAGAAATTACTGAAATGACAAAACTCTTAGAAGAAAACACAGGTGTCAAACTTCACAACCTCAGATTAGGCAGTGGTTTCTTAGACTTGACGCCAAAAACACAAGCAACAACAAAACAGACCAAAAACCAAAACCAAACTCATTGCCGTAGAGTCAGATCTGACTCATAGTGACCCTCCTTGGGTTTCCGAGCCAGTATCACTATGGAAGTAGATTGCCCAGCCTTCCTCCCAAGGAGTGGCTGATGGGTTTGAACTGCCAGCCTTCTGGTTAGTAGTCAAATGCCTTAGGCACTATGCTACCAGAGCTCCCACAAAATAGATCAGACACCATCAAAATTCATATGTTTGTACTTCAAAGGACACCAGTGAGGAAGTGAAAAGACTCCAACCCACAGGATGGAGGAAAATGCTTGTGAGTCACACATTCCTCCTGTGAGACTATCAAAACCACATAAAGAACTTTTATTTTTCTTATTTATTATTTTTTTTTATTGTGATTTGGGTGAAGATTTACAGAGCAAATTCACTTTCCCTACAGCAGTTCACATACACTTTGCCTCATGACATTGACCACAGTTTACCACAATGCAACGGCTCCCCTCCCACTTCCTCCCTGTAGTTACCTCTTCCAGTGTCCATCCCTCCATTCACTCCTGCCCCCTGAGCTGTCTCCCTGTGCATAAGCAGCCCTTCTTTCTCCCATGTAAAATACACAAACTTTTATAACTCAGTAATCAAAAGAAGAATAATTAAAAATGGGCAAAGCATCTGGATAGACATTTCTCCAAAGAAGATACAAAATGTTCATAAGCACAGGAAAAGCTGCTTGCTCGAGCTCTCCTGCTCTCTTTCATACACATACAATCATGGCTGCCTTTTTCTCATCCATTAAGTCATTAAATGTCACCTTCTCAGAGAAGCCAGCCCTGATTGCCCCCACCTCATTTTATGCCCCCACCTCATTTTATGCCCTATCACCCCAGGTACTTCCTTCAAAGTACTTACCAAAGTCTGTAAATATACTGATTATTTATTTGTTTACTTGTTTATTAGGTTTTTGGACTCCCTAACCTCCCAGTAAGGAGTCCTGGTGGTGCAGTGGTAAGCACTCAGCTGTGAACTGAACGGTTGGCAGTTCAAACCTACTAACTGCTCCGTGGCAGAAAGAGGTGTCATTCTGCTTCTGTAAAGATTACAGCCTTGGAAACCCTAAGGGGCAGGTCTGCTCTATCCTAGGGCAGCTGTGAGTTGGAATCAACTTGATAGCAGTGGGTTTAGTTTTTCTGGTAACCTCCCACTAAACTATAAGCTCCTTGAGGACAGATACCTTGTCTATCCTGATTTGTTTACTGTTTGCCTCCATAGCTCCTAGCTCACTGCCAGGCACACAGTAGGTGCTAAATAAATATTTACTGAATGACTGAGTGAACTGCATAGGACTTAGTTGGATCTGTGTCAGTCTCCCCACAAAGCTAGAATTCAGTTTCTTCTCTGCTTTCTGACTGGCTGTAACTCTCTGAGGTTTGGATAAAGAACTAGCTTCTTATTTGTATTCCTTTAGCTGTCAGCTACCACAAGCTAAAGCTTTCTATTGTTCTTCAAGACTCACAGATGAAAGGTGGCAAAGAGAGGCTCCCCTTCACCTCTTCCTCTCAGGCAAAAGAGATCTGTTTAAAGTATTTATCTGGTCTGACCTCAACTTCAGAGAGAGCTAGTCTTTACTGGAACATACAGCATGCCTGTCACCACTTCCTAATTCTATTACAATGACAGACATTACTAATCAATCATGGTTCTCTTTCCTATTTGGCCCAGGAAGCAGCTTCAGCATCCTTTTCAACATAGCACTCTATACAGCAACTGCAACTGTCTAGAGCTTGCCCTAAGATGGAACTGTTGGCCATCACTCATCTAATGTGACCAGTGGCCAATGACGAGGGATTGTAGCTTGGACTGGAGCTAAGCTAGCAGCCACTCTGCTACCATATTCTCTCTAATAAAGTGCAGGCTAGCTGTTGTCCAGTCAGAGTCTCACTCTTCCTCCCTACTATGCAGTCTCTCACCTGCAAAGCCAAGAGCAGGACTTGGGAGTGTTGGGGACACCAGCCCTCCTTGGAGAGGGTAGGAGTGTGTGGGTCCACACTCCTGTGGAACAATGGGGTTAGGTCTGAGAATCTTGTCCTTAGTGGGACTCTGGACTGGCTTGTTCAGACCCCAGCTGCTAAAGTGGGCTAGTATACACCTCAAGATCCAAGACAGACATGCCACCAGACACCTGGCCATGGGCAGGGCTGCATGTGCCCAGAATGAGAGCCCAGGATTGGAGGTGTATAGTGTGCCTGCCTTGCAGAACCTTCTGCAGAGGGGCCAGCCCAGTAAGGTCACCTTGAAGACACCCCTTCCTCCAGCCTCATTACCCTCCTGGCGCTAGGATAGCCTCACTCCTGCCTGCAGATGGGACCAGTTGGCGCAGACATGCCTGTGTGGCCAGCTGGGAGATTAATCTCTCAGTCACCATGGCCGACAGAGGTAGGCGCTGTTTTAAATGATGAGGGAAACACTTTCAATTTCCAAACCCAGGGCCCATTTGATCAACAACATAAATATGGCTGCGGAGAAATAACCTGATGACAGCCCTCCTCC